TGCTGCTTGGCCTGCTGTGTTCATCCAGCTCTGCACCTTGTTGTCTCATAGTAAAATGAGGCCCTGTTTACGCTTTTGGGTGGATATAAAAGATTCCATTGAACTATTTGAAAAAGAGTAGAGGAGCAGTTTCCAGTTTCCTTGCCAATGTTCATTACTGAGTTAAGCACCATAGTAACAGACTAAGCTCACTGACATTGTTAATGAGCAAGGTGGCTGTTCCATTCTCTACAATGCAAACATGGCTAGGTTTCAAGGGTACTCCACTGTAAAGCACCTTGAAATGTTCATGAGGTTCTACATGTACATTTTTTTTTCTGTTGAGTATTGTGCAGCATTACTTAATGTCACAAATCAGATTTATAAAATATGAACAGAAATTGAATGCTGCTGTGTATTGTTATGTTGTTTAGAAGCAACAGTAAAGCCAAATCAGAACGAATGACTACAAATCACTGGCAGTATTTATAATGATCTAAAAAGGTATAATATTTTAATTTGTACTGTGAACTTTATTCACAAAATCTTTACGATAAAAGGAATGGGCCTGATACTTTTTTTTAAAACTGTGTTTATAAATATTTCTAAATGTCTTTGTATACTAGTATAATATTGTATGTAGTATGATATTAGAATGCTCAAAGCAACGCACAGCATATGAAGTTCTTTTGAAGAACTTTGCCACTGTAATAAACATGGCATCACAGATAATTGAGGTGATAAGCTCCTTTAGTTGTTTTGGTTGAGGAATTTTCATTGACTAAAATATCAGAGGGCAAACACATCTTACAATAATGCTATAGGATGTTCTGTCACTTTTACGAGGAGATAGTGTTTCATTTTAATATCTTAGGGATAAATTCTAAACAGTGCAAATTCCTTCAGTTCTGCAGTATTTAATAATAAATTTCAAGTTGGATTATTTGGAGCAGGGCTTGAATCTATGGAAGAGATTCTATGGAAAAGAATGCTAACACAGATTTATGTTTTGTTCTAAAGTGTTGAGCCTACCATTCCTAAATTGCACAAACTTTAACAACCAAAAAGACCAACCATGAAAATGTTTTAATAAAAACACTGCTAGAATACTCAGGAAAGGTAACATCTTCAGAGAGACAGTTTCAGGTAAATACCTTTCTTCAGAATAGACAAAAGCTTTGATTATTTTAGACTCTGGATACATGTTCTAATTCAGCGGAAGTTTAATACAGTATGTTTGACAACTTCAGGAGTACGTTTTCAATTTTTGGTAAATGAGCAAAATAAACATTGTGCATTAAAATGGATGTATGTTATCTACTATTAAATTTCTGCAGCTTTCAAGGATCACTTTCTTTTTGCTTTCACTTTTCCAGGTTTTGCTCATATTCTGCTTTGTGTCATTCAGCATTCATGGAATTAAAGACACCACTAATTGAATACAAAAACACGACAAGTGAGATAAATCACAACTAAAATAATAACGGATTCTAATTGTATTCAATTCCATGTTGGTTCTACACACTGCATAATTGGAGAACAGTGATTAATACAGAAGGAACTCCAATCAAAATTACCATGAGAAGAATAATTGATATTGCTGATGTTGTCCAGCAGAGGGTAGCCATCATTGATATAACTGAACAAACTCAAAACAAATTGTCACACTGCTCTGTGTGGTGTAGACTCAAGTACTGTGCATGGTGAAGATGTGCAAATATTTAAAAATGTCAGTCAAAACCTTGCATTCTGAATATTGCTAACAAAATACTTTTGTATTACTTAATCTTTCTTTAATATAAACCACAGTTTTGAGATTTTTCATTGCATCATTTCAAATATTCCTGTCTTGAATCTTATGCCAAGAAAATGTTGAGCAAAGTTGACTAAAATTGCGGAGAACAAGATGAAGCAGATATGCTGTCTTGTTTTCTTGTAAACTTATTTTTTGATGTGATAAGCTATAATTTTAATTGTTTTATTCCAGAAGAAACTGATAAATTGCCATAAAATGAAACTTTAAGATTAGGCAATTAATTTGAAACCAATCTGTACCGAAAACCTCATCTTGCACTACTTTGAGCAAAGTGCAGTTGTGCAGGAAATGAAAATATTTTTAAAATTGGCAGGTTTATCCACTTAAATCAATACATTCTTACGGTTGAGTAAAAGATCTTGAAAAAACACCAACAGAATAGCATATGGAACCTGAACAAAGTTATTTCAGTGGCTTTTTAAAAATTCAGGTGTTAACAAGAAGTATTTTTTTATTTGTATGGAGAAATATCAATGCACTCCCATCAATTTCTGTCTGAAGGTCCAAGATGCTGTTAATTATCCAAAGATTAGCAGAAAATGTTTTTATTCACATAAACAACAAAGTCTAATAAGTCAATAAGTGTGAATCTAATGATAATAGAAATCTGATTGGTGCTATGAGAAACTGGCAAAAGCAAAACATAACTTCTCAATTCCTGAAACTTCACATGATTTTAGCATTTTCTGTATTTGCATTTGTCAAATGAACTTTCAGAAGCCAGTTTTTTGATTAAAACCCTGTAATTTTAGTGTAATTATATACCAACTATGGAATTAGTTGAATACTTTTGAAACAAATTTTAGTTGTCCTCTGTAAGCGTATACAGTTTGGATTTCTTTTTTCTCAAGTCACTGTTACTACATAAATGAACTTTCAAAACTAAAAAAGCCAAACCTTTCAATGAAGTGTTTACTGAATGAAGATTAGTGGTGGCTGTGTACAAAGATACAAGCTCTGTGACACAAATGCAAAAATTCTGAAAAACACGAACTTTTTTTTAAACAGAAAACCCTTTTATAAAAAATATTCTTTATGCATTGAGGAAAAAACCTATATAGGCTATGAGATTTCAGGTACTGTAACTTATTTTTTAACATTGATAGCTGCTTATGAACATTTTCCTAACCTTCTCATTAAAATATTACCTTATCTGAAGAATACTATGTATTAACAGTAGACTTCTTTTGTTCTGTTACCATGCAAACATTTATGGCATTTGAGCTATTTGTTAAAATTACGCCTAAATGAGACCTGATAGGCAGATCAATTATTGAATAGCATCATTTCCATTTGTAACAAAAAATGCTACTAATATATTTTTGTATCAAATTCAATGTTCTTATCCCAAGTCTTGTTTTTATTTTCAAAGTGTGCCTGTATCTTTTGGGCTAAAATCCTATTTGGCTCTAACAAAAAGTGAGGATATTTATATACCTTCTGAACTACATTGAATTTTGCTGCACACTAAACAGCTAACTTAGTTTTTGCATACAAATATTTTACCAGTTTTGTTAACTTGCTGGACTATCCCAAAAGAATGCCTTAAGATTTTTTAGGATCATTGCAATAAAACACAATTCTAAATAACTTGACTACCAAATAATTTCATTGTGCTGTAAAAGTGCTATGTTAGAAATTCTTGACTCCAAACACCTGATTAATGCAGCCTGTGAAACAATTAAATACTAAAGGACCAATATGGAAGCGAGACCAAACTGTGGCTAGTACAGAGTGTCTATTTATTTTTCTATGTAAAATGAGGGACTATTTGTAGCAAATGATTTTTATTATGCTTTGGATATATATTGTGGAGTAACTATTTACTTTGTACAAAAAGGTTATTTCTAATTTCATGTACTAATATCTTCCAGATAAAAGTATTAAATTCTAAAGTATTTTCATCCTATTTTCTCAGTATGTTTTCTTAATGTGAGGACATGTAGTCTCAAGTATCAATAATGAAAGATCTACATATTACAAACAACACTCAAGTCTGCACATATTAATTGGAATTAATTAAAACTTAATGAAACCAAAGTGCACAAGTATGTCACTTACATATTTGGAAAAAGAAAATCCCAACCTGGTTTTTAGAAGTGTTAATTCTTTTCAAAAGGGAACTGAGCAAAAGTCAGAAATATTAGGCTTAAGAAAAGGAGGTTTAGGGTGTGTCACGCATGTAGAAAAGTAAGGGATTGGGTGAAGTACTTGAGAGTGCAGTCACTAGTCATGGAGAAACTGAGAATGACACACTCCAGCAAATGTAGCTGGAGGAAATTAGAGATAGTGAGGTGGTAAGGCAATGAAGTCTAATCAGGAGGATGATGTTTAAATTTGAAGTATTGGATGACCAAGCAGGGAGGTGATGGCCTCACGGTATTATTGCTAGACTATTAATCCGGAGACCCAGGTGGTGTTGTGGGATCTTAGGTTTGAAACCCACTACGGCAAATGGTGGAATTTGAATTCAATAATTAAAAAAAATCAGGAATTAGGAGTCTAATAAAGACTATGAAATCATCATTGATTGTTGGAAAAACCTATCTGGTTCACTAATGTCCTTTAGGGAAGGAAACTATCATCCATACCTGGTTTGGTCTACGTGTGACTCCAGATCCACAGCAATGTGGTTGACCCTTAACTGCTCTCTGGGCAATTAGGGATGGGCAATAAGTGTTGACTAAACTAGTGACACCCACATTCCATGAAGGACTTTTGTTTAAAAGTCAATTCCATGGCTAATTCCATGAAGTTGATGAGCAAATGTAACTTTTTGTACAGAGAATTTTAGAAAAGTTTATAGAGAACAGGTTTGCGAGGGATGGGTTGTTTGTAGTTAAACATGAGTAGTATCAAATTGAAAATAAATACTATTCGATTCTGCAAAATGTTGTGATAAGTCTTTTGATTAGACAGATTTTAAGAACCAGAAAAAGACTATAAAAAGTAGAGGCAGAAAGTAGAGTAAGTGGTAGAGATATTATAAATATTTAAATAGTAAGTATATCTCCTATTAGTCCTTTAGATAGTGTGTCTAGGCAATTGATAATGGAAAGTGAGGAAATCATGGTGGTGTTAAACATTTTGTTTGTTTCCCCTATGGAAAACTTACCAAAGGTATGTGAAAATCAAGAGGTGAAGCAAAGGGGAACTTGAAACAATCACCATCCCCAGGGAAAGATGCTTGGAAAATAGCTGGACCTAAAGTGTGTCAAATCCCCAGAGCCTAGTAGCCTGCATCCTAGTCTTAGCTGTAATCTTACAAAATTCCTTTAGATTCCGAAAGGGATTCGGGATTGAAAAACAGCTAATGCCACGCCTTTCCACAAGAAAGGAGAGAGACAACAGGGAATTTTAGCCAGTTAGCTGAACTGTCATTGGGAAATTGGTAGAATCCATTATGAAGGAGGTTTATAACAGAATACTTAGAAAATCAGTGTGATTAGGCGTAGCTAGTGTTGTTTTGTGAGGGAAATGGTTTTCAACTAACTTATTCAAGTTTGATGAAGAAACAAGGTGAATAAAGGAGTACTTGTAGATGGTTATATGTAGATTGCCATAAGGTGATACATTGGAGGTTACTACACAATATTAAGATGTCTCAGAATGAAAATAACATACTAGCATGAATAAAGGATAGGTTAATAGGAAATGGAGTAGGGTTAAAATTGGTGCTTTTTTTGGATTGGCATGCTGTAACTAATCAAATGTCACCAGGATCAATGCTGGAGCCTCAACAATGTACAATCCATATCAATGACTTGGATGTGAGGACTGAATGTGTGATAGCTAAATTTGCTGATGACCCTAACATAGTTAAGAAAAGTATGTTGTCAAGAGGAGATAGTGTTCAAAAGAATATAGATAGGTCAATTGAGTTCCTAAAATTTGTCAGATGGAATATAATGTGGGAAAATGTAGGCAGGAGGATTAGTTGAACAGTGTACTATTTAAATAGAAAGAGATTGGAGAACTTGGAGGTGCAAAGGGATCTGATTGTCCTGGTTTGTGAATCTCAAAAATTAGTTTGCAAGCACAGCAGGTGATTCAAAAGACATATGGAGTATTAATGTGTGTTGCAAGGGAATGGAATATAACAACCGGGACGTTTCACTGCAACTGCACAGGGTGTTGGTGAGACCTCATCTGGAGCATTGTGTACAATTTTTGTCTCCTTGAAAATATAAACTGCATTATAGTTTAGATTGAGGTGATCTTTATTGTAACATTACAAGGTACAAGAAGAGGTTAATTCCAAGAGAATGTTTCCTTTGTAGGATAGACTAGAACTAGAGCATATTTAAGGATAAGAGGCCTTGCTTTTAAGACCGATCACAATTCAATTTTTTTCCTCGGAGTTGTTATTTGTGGAATTCTCTTCCCTGGAAAATAGTCAAATCTGGGTCATTGAATTTATTCAAGGCTGAATTCAGATTTTTGATAGACAAGGGAGTAAAATTGATATCACAATCAAGTTAGACATCCCATCGAGTGTCAGCAGGCTTGAAGTACCAAATGACCTACTAATGTCCTATGATTCTGCAGAAGATTAACAAAGCTGTAGATTAAGAACTTCAATGGCTATTGGCTGCAGTAGATCAAACCTAGACAATGTTATGAGGGTAGAATTCATTTAAAATGGTTGTTATGAAATTGAAAATGCAAGTGAGGTCTAGTTGGACAACAATGTTCAAAACTGTCTGGTTCAGGTTAAAACTACTAGGGTGAGGGTGGAATAAGTAGCACAGACTCCAAGTTTGTGTATGGAGTTTGGTAAGTAGTTTTGGTCTTCCCAATAGACCATCTTAAATGAGCGCTCTGACAACACGGGTGGTTGTGTTGAAAGAGGGAGATTTGTGTTATCAGCGTAAATTTGGCAGCCCACTCCATGTTTGAGTAACGAATAATAGTAGGGACCAAAGCATTAATCTTTTAGGAATAGAGTTAATTGTATGTGGGCAGAAAGGGGAGCTATTACTGATTGTACCGTAGAATAAGGAAGCCCTAATGATTTGAAGACCCGAAGTGGTGCTTTTATGGCAATTTCTTAACGAAAAGGAGATTTCCTGATACTTGAACAGCTTAAACCATTCACAATGTCACTATGGGAGCCAGGAGGGGAAATTGAGTATGTAGCAATTAAATATAAATAGACCAACAAGTGGATTTTCAGGACACAAATGACAGATGAGAAACTAGAAAGATTTTGGCAGTAAATTAAAATAGAAAAGGGAACTGAGATTAAAATTGGAATTATCCTGATTGTGTTCAGGAGTGATTAAGTGAGGCATTTTCAGGGGTGAGATGACTATAGAAGAACTTTAAAAGGCAAGGTATTTTGAGAAGAGTAAGAGTCCCACGAAAGGATTAGGGCCACATGTGGATAAATTAATGTCTTTATAGTTTTTGTGCCACATCAAAGCTTCTGTTTTCTCTTTGGACATGCACACATCAATGACCTACATATAATTATGCACATTTAAAACCATGTCTACAATGTACCACCATGATTGTGAAAATAAAAATGTGCAGCAGTTGTACTAGACTTTTGACATTCGGTTGTACCTATAGGTAGGTGTGATAAAGTTGTACAATGATCTGTGTGCAATAAAGTGGATTTGAAATCACTTAGTAAAGCTGACTACATTGGTCCTGCTACATTATGTCAGGCTACTCATTTAGTAACATCGACAGCAATTTTAAATGGAAGACAGCAGTGGAGTTCATTGTGTTGGTCAATCTGAAAAAGCTAAAGAACCTTTTATGGTCGTTGACTCAGTCTGTTCTTTAGCTGTAGTATGATAACACCACTCAGCTGGAGCAATAGAACCAATAGTAGTGCATTTTGTACTTGTATTTCTTAAATTTCTTTGCACCAGATGAGTTCATTGATTATGCTCCTTTAGTTTCATAATATAGAATATCCTTTATTGTCACTTGTACTACAATACAGCAGTATAGGAGTACAGTGGAAAGTTTCTACAATGGCTGCCTTTTAATGGCACCATCTTAGGTGCAAGTACCTAGTTACAAATCTTAGAGTAAAAAAAGAATATGGTGTTATACAAAGAGGATTTAAGGAAAGCATAAACATTACTTACAGAAGTAGTTACAACATAGTGAAAAGGTCTTAAATTACAGTCCGATAACAGCAGCTCAGCATGTGGCACCAGGCCCAACTCCAGCAATTGTCCCACATCGCTCCAGCATTCAGTCTGCTCTTCAGTGGCACTCGGCAGCATCCTGGTACGTCACGCTGCACCAGGATTCATCTCTTGGCTCCTCTGACACTTTGGAGGAAGATTAGATGCAGCCCCTCCATCGTCACCTCAGGCTGCCTGCTTCCCCATTCACCGTTGGGCACCGCAAGCTTCCTTCTCCCACCCTCGCCGCTAGCTCCAGGATTTGCTGCCTGCTTCTCTGGGATGCGCTGCTGCAGGGCTTGCTGCTTATGGTGTTCTGAAGCATGAGGGCTACTTGCTGTTGGCTCTGGCCCTGAGGGGAAAGAAGAAGAAATAAAAGAGAAAAAAAGGAAAAAGAACAGGCAGAGCAGAGGACCTCTGACAGGAGCATCCTACTCTGCTGCCATCTTGGCCATATTTCCCTATTGTTTGAATATGTCCAAACTGTAAATGACTTCAACATTTTTGAGTTTTGTGTGACTGAAGAACCTGATACTGGATCAGCAAGAATGTATGCTGAACTGACAATTCATGTTATTGTTACTTGGGGGTAGCTGCTCTGCTATACCACCTCTGATATTCCTTTGAGTATATATAATGTCGAAAAACTGCTGAACTAGATTTCAGTGCATGCCTCCATGTTAACTGGTTGGCTGCAATGTTTTCTCAAGAGAGGTGATATACTATACAGACATTTGTAAAGCTCTTTTATTCAAGGTTATCC